AACCATCCCTTACGATTCCACCCAGAATCTCCTCACACTCCACCACTGACGTTCAGCACTTTCTCTCACCTATTTTCTTCACCGGGGACTTCACCACGGGCTGGTCCTTGTTCTGGTTCAGCTGTTCCACCAGCCGAGCCTGCTCAGAGCTGGGACGACCGATGGGCACGACCTTGACATTGCCGCTCATCTCAGCCAGCTTGGTGCGTGCCATCACAGTGGCAAACTCCCGATGGTCGGAGCCCAGTTCCACAGACACCTGTGAAGAGGAATCACATAGGCATTAGTCATAAATCACAGTTGGGGTCTCTCTGTCTCTGTCTATGGCTCTCTCTCTCTCTCTCTCTCTCTCTCTCTCTCACTCTCCATGTGTTTACACGCATGTGTGTGAAAACTAAAGGGGGGGGGGCAATTTTGGTGGAGTTTTAGAAGAGGTTTTACTGCGCTCGCAACTACATAAGGTCATATGAGCGCCAGAAGATTAGAGGTGTTACAAGAGACAAACAAAGGAGGGGAGATAAGGACGATAGTTGTTTCATAGGAAAGAAGAAGCAAGCCACACCAGAGCACCCGCCAACCACCCACAATTTCGGGGAAGGAGTAGACATGGGAAGGGAAGGGATTTTGGAAGGGAGGAGAAATCCAATGCCAACTGCAGCACCCAACATCTGATAAGATAAGACATGATATCCATCAATACAGTTAATACTGCATGGCATAAGTTTTAGTAACAAACCGACCATTGCATATTAATGAGTAGTGCATACACATGCAAATTTAAAAAATTTTAATAGTGTATTTTTACGTCAATTATGATGATAAGTTGCCTAAATATTGCAAACAAACACACAAGTTCAAATTGCGTACTTTTTGTTACATTCACAATAAGTCGCACATGACCTGGCCCAATTCAAGGATAAAAATTTGGATTTAATACACATCCGTTCAGGATTCTTCAAAGGGCAAACAAAAAAATTTTGAGAGTTCCGATTTTATCGGTGTGCTTGGCAGGTATGCACTGGTCATAACTTTAGTAGAAGGAAAACAAACAAATACAATTCAAACATACTGTGATGTAAGCGTTTGTGAAATACACAGGTACACGTGTAATACCTGCAGTCCCACTTTCATACAAAACCAAAAACCAGCAATTTTTGTTGGAAAATCATGCCACCCACAACAGTTCAAAGTTGGAAGTTTTGAGTAAACAGAACGATGGAATGGTCAAATAATGCAAGGAAGAAGACAGACAGACAGAAACAACAGAGGGAAAGAAAGGCAGACCTATCAGTGGCACCCTCCAACCACCCGCCAACAGCTCTAAAATTACCTTGAGGTGGCCAAAAAGGTGGGTGTTGGACCTGCCCGTCATGGAACTGTTAAATGACGTAGAGCGGGATGAGTTGAGCAGTCCGTTTTTCCGAGTGTCCGGAACTTCAATCTGCCTCTGCACGCATAGATTCTCTGATCTCAGGATGGACTTGAGAGACATGCCACCACTGCCAATGAGGGTTGGCTGGAAAAGAAAAGTTGTTCGTTTTGGTACGAACTTTACAGCACTTACAACACAATTAGGTCATTATCTTGGGGTATTTTTTCTGTCATGTTAGTTACCGAAACAAAACATGTTACAGACTTTGTGTAAAGTACTCTTTTTTTTTTTTTTTAACTGCATTTAATATGATTCTTCATATATCTTTCAAATGTTCTGATCATTAAAAGTTGATATAAAATTAATTGATACTGAATTACAGTGTTATCATTGTTAAAAAGTATAGTCCAAATAATCCAGAGTAGCCCTAAATGTATATATATATATATATATATATATATATATATATATATATATATATATATATATATATCAAAAGCAGAAAAGCTCCAACTCACCGAGTTCTGTCCAGCCTCCCGACAATACACCCGGAATACCAGCGCAGCCTTCCACCATTTTTCCACCACAGTGCCGTCAAACATGATGGGAAACACGGTCCGGTGGTTGAACAGTACGGCTGGCGGGAATAACAGAATGTCATGTCATACATGGGCAGCATAAGCAGACAGACAGACAGACAGACAGACAGACAGACAGACTGGACCAACTGATATAGACAGACAGACAGACAAAAAGACAGACAGACAGAAAGACAGACAGACAGACAGACAGACAGACAGACATAGACCGACTGGACCAACTGATATAAACAGACAGACAGACAGACAGACAGAGACAGACAGACAGACAGACAGACAGACAGGACCAACTGATATAAACAGACAGACAGACAGACAGACAGACAGACAGACAGACAGACAGACAGACAGACAGACAGACAGACAGACAGACAGACAAACAGACAGACAGATAGACCGACTGGACCAACTGATATAAGACAAATTTTCAGTGTTGTGGAAACCAAAGAAAAAAAATATTCCAAGAAGAAAAGAGATGTTCCTGAAGAAGTCCGAATAATATGGGTGAAATATTGAGGTGAACAGTGGCGGCACTCACATCCATTTTTAATGTTTTTGGAGGCAACCCGCGTGACCTCCGTCGCCATGGCGTTGGCTGTGTACTTGTCCCTGGACACCGACGTCACTGGGAACTGGTACTCCACAAAGTAGGTGCTGGGAGGAGACAGTGGAAATATGCTGTTGTAAACAGTTTAGTTTTTGTAAGAGTTTTATGGCACTTGCAACACAATAAGGTCGAAAAATGTGACGAAGATTAAAGGAGTTACAAGAGAGTAACAAACAAAAAAAAAGAAGGAGGGGAGATAAGGACGACAGATGTTGGATAGGAAAGAAGGAGTAAACCACACCAGAGCACCCGCCAACCACCCACTGTTGTAAACAGTATGCTGTAATCTACGGATATTCAGAGTAGGTGAACCATGAAACATTTCACACAGGTAGGTGAACCATGAAACATTTCACACAGGTAGGTGAACCATGAAACATTTCACACAGAACGTAAAAATAAAGTTTTCACTGCGTCCAATCTGGACATTGGGGATTGCCTTCTTAGTGAGACAACTTTCTGGGCCTTTGGCATATTGTGGTAGGGTGGCCAGTTCCTTACACAGTATGTAAGTCATGAAATATTTCATCCAGTATGTAAGCCATGAAATATAAGGGTTTTGTCACAGCTTCTTTTGACAACAATTGAGATTTCTTTTCCTCTTGAACCTGTGGCATCATCTCAATTAATACAAAATTCGAGTTCTTCCCCCCTATGAACAAGCTCATTTCATTTTTACCTAGTAGTTACAAAACTGATGAAACAATGATCAAAATCTATGGAAAGTATAATGTTTCTCTAAGACTGAGATCTCCATGATAGTTACGGCCTAAATAAAACTTGCTGAGTTGAGAAATCCAAAATATTTATTGATACATGGGTGAATATATTCGGTGACATATATCTTGCTTTATACATTAGTACAACTGATACCCACTATCTATGTTGTGGTTCGGTTTTTTTCATGTACTCTAATTATTTTCCAAAGAACGTTTAAAAACTGGGAGCTGTATGTCTTTTGTTGAGCTTCAACTTACAACAAGTAAGCCTGGTAACAATCATATTTTCCAGAAACAAACAAATGTAAAAAAAATATTTTTAAAACTGAAAAGGAAACAGAAGGAGCAAACCATTCCAGAAGAGCCACAAACTACCCATCCTCACACACTCTTATTATTTTTTTATTAAAAGAAATTAAAACAATAAAAATTTTTTAAGCAAATGAAACTCACCAAGGTTTTTTAGACTTTAGCGGGCGGGGTGGGCGACCCCCTCGGAGCTTGCTGACGGACAGTTTGGAGTCGGATGTGTCCAGATTGTCCGGCCGCAGCACGTCCAGAAGCTCCACATTCACCCTGGCCACGTGGACACGGCCTAGCAGAGTCAGTCGCTCCACACTCAGACCCTCTGTGCAGACAATGCAAAGTATTATTGTGTACGTTTGGTTTTAGTTTTAGTAAGCTATTTACGGCACTAGCAACACAATTAGGTCCATTTTTCTCCTCGACAGTGGGCAGTCATCTTGAACAAGTTTCATTGTACAGGTTTACCCATAATTTTTGTTTTAGTAGGCGTTTTACAGCCCTTACTACACAATTAGGTCATATAAGTGCCAAAGATTAGAGGTGGTATAACAGAGTAACAAACACAAAAAAGGAGGAGAGATAAGGACGATAGATGTTTGGAAAGAAGGAGCAAACCACACCAGAGCATCCGCCAACCACCTGCTGACATTGCGTATGTAGTTACAGTTCAGTATTGTTTGCTTTTAGGAGACAAAAGGAGCTGAGGCACAATAACGGTAACTTACTGCAGGAAAAAAGCAAGACGGAAAGAAAAAAACGACAGAGGAAAAGAAAAGAAGTAGGACCTGCTAGTGACAACCTCTCATCATCCACAGTAAGGTAGAGATGAAATTTTCGTTCAATCAGACAGGATACAGTTAGTAATTCCTATGCAACAACCAAATTGGTGTATGTTTGGGCAAAATTTTCTCGTACACAGGTATTGTGTCTTATGTCTAGTCAATCTCTGTCCCAACAAGACCGTTCCCATCACAACTAATGTCTCACATTGTGGAGTCCACCACTGAAAAGACCTATTTGAATTCAGTTGTCAGTTCAGCTCTTACCCAAAAAAAATATATATATGTAAGCTGCAGGAAAAAGAACCATAAACTGTAAGAACTTTATGAATTGTTGCTTGTTTTAGTAGAGGTTTTATGGCGCTCGCAACCACATGAGGTCATATGAGCACCAAGGGGAGGACGTCAAGAGGGAAGTTCCTACACGGAATCAAGCTTACTCTGCTCACCTCTCTAGCTTCAACAGCACAAAGTCTGCTTCCACATTCAAGGCACCCCGGAAATAGCTGGTCACAAGAGTGTGACAACCATACAAAAGAAGTGGAGGAAAAATGATGAGAGCAAGGATTAGGAAAGAAAAAGCAACAGTTCCCTGTTGCAGTTATGAGCATGACATTGATGAATCAGCCCACTTACAGTTACAGTTCTACTGTGCATAAGAACATGGTTAATGTCCCCCTTTGGGAATGGCCTAAAGACACTTCGGTCAGTAGTACTGCCCCAAGGAGTGTTTAAGAATTGTATGTCAGTGAAATAATGAAAACGATATTAATTAGTAAAGGTGCTCACTTGTTGGGTTTTTTAGGAATGCACTTTGGAGAAAAACGTGTTACAGCTGAAAAAAGGTCTTATCAAAGAACAGATCTAAAAATAATAATGTGATTAATTTTACAGGCCAATTTGGACTAAAGTGTTTTATGCATCAAAACAGAAATGATCTGTTTTATTTTATAATGAGGTGAAATCCACAACACATAATTTAAAAGAACAATTTTGTCTAACTACGAGAGTTTTCTATTTTCTCTCTTCGAGGAATGAATGTATTTACATGTCTGGTTTACGTAATGTCTCATACTGAGCTCTATCTTAACTTGGACAAGATTGTTTTAGGGAATAGTCTTGAGTAGATGCTGAAAACCACCTAGTTCCCAATGTTGGCAAAATAGTCTTGCTTTTGAACTGAGAAAGGAATGACTGTTGCAACCAGAAGAAGGATCTACTCTTTTTTTTGTGTGTTGACGAAGAACAGGTACGAAAACAAAAGAACATGAATAAATAACAACAGCTTTTGAGTGTGCATGCCCTTAAAAGTCTTTAAGGGGCAGAATCAGCATGGTACAGGGGATGGAAAGACAGGCTATTAACCAAATGAACACCGGAACGATCAGCAGATGGACTCTGAGGTGGATATTGGAGCGGGGAGCGGAGCACATACGGCAATGCCCGGAGTGCTATGATGTTCCCAGGATCAAGTAATCAAGTAATCAAAAGTCAATCAGTATCCTTGAGGATCCCTGAAAAAGTGAGTAAAACATTGGAATGAACAGGCAGGGTGGGGAAGTTATCTTAAAGTGTACTTTAAACTAAAAATCAAAAAGAAATATCAACTTAGTCATTACCTGATTTTGGGTTGTTCATATCGGAAGGCACTGGATCAAACGAAACACGTGAAGATTCAGAACGCGCCGTGCTCATTCGATCACTGTCACTGCCTTCATCCACGCTCACTTTCCTCCTCCCCGATCTTGACCGCGACCGTGACCTTGAAGTTGACCTCGACCTCATCTTTCTCCTTGGCTTCGATGAGAGTTTACTAGTATCTTTCGTCCTCCCTGGAATGTTCTCTTTGCCACCAGCATTGGCTGCACTTTCTTTCACTTCAGGTTTCAGCACTTTTGAGGTGTGCTTCCTAGGCGTGTTGGACCGAGATCTCGTCTGCGAGTTTGAGCGTGACCTTGAGCGAGATCTTGATCCAGATCGTGACCTTGCCTTCCGCTTGGTCTTTTTCTTTCCTTCAGCTGCCTCCTGGTCTTGTTCCAAAAGCTGAAGGCTTGTCAAGGAAGAGGTTCTTGATAAAGGACGCTGGAAAGCAGAGAAACAGACTAGTATAAGAACATCTCACTCTCCCACTTTCTCTAATATGCCCATCAAACACGCACATACACACACACAGAGATACACATACAAAAATACACACACATACAAACACACACACACACATACATACATACCTGGTTCCCGGGCTCAGTAAGTGGGTGGTGAAGCCCATTACTTCCTGGAAGACGGGCAGGGAGTGACAGATGAGGTGCAGTGAGAGCAGAGGGTTCCAGTCCACTGATGTCGTTGATCCCCAAACCTTCAAAATCCTAGACAAAGCCAAACAAGATAATAATGCTTTTTATTTTGAATTTTGCTGAAGGTAGTTTGAGTGACTGGAAGTAAACAAAGATGACAATCTAATGAAAGCACTTTTGTTAAACAGAAATGTTCATTCCTTACTAAAAGATTTCAGGAAAAAAATTTCAACCACATGTATTCTCTTTGATATTATGACTTTTGGTTGCTATTAGTTAATTGACAATGTGAATTTTTACAAAATGTTTTTGAGCACTTGCAACTGATACCAGACTAAGAAATTACGATTAAAAAAGCGTTCAAAATTTTGGGCTTAATACATTTTTCCAGCTGGCCAACTATTCACAACCTGCACCCACTTACAGAGTTGTGGTAGAAGAGCTCCTGCAAGAGGGAGTTGTCGTGCATTGGGTCCTCTGCCTCGCTCAGCAGCAGGTCGTGACCTACATCCGAGGACAGGCTGGTGCCGGGACTCAGCCCATTCATCAACTGATACAGCTAGAAAAAAACATAAATTATTTTGTTAGAGTTTGTTACAGTGCAGAGAAGAACATTGTCACAGTAGCATTATCTAAGGCAAGTAAACAAGGAGACAGACTGACAGAAATCACAGTTGAAAAGAAAATAAGTAAGACCTACCAGTGATGCACCCCAACATCAGTGAAAAAATTAATTTGTACAACTAGGAAAAATACTAATCAACTTGCACGATTCCCACAGAAAAAAAAACCCTGTCATTTTATAACACCAGAAATAAACAAAACAATTTGAAATTTGAACAGCTAAAAATTATCAAAATGTATAACTGAGAAGAAATTTTTTTGCTTTTGTTATTGCATGATTTTAACAACCTACTCAATACGAATAAGTCACTGTGAAGTGAAAGCACTTGACCTAAAGGTAAGAATAAAAAAGAAACAAACATTTGAAAACAGACAGGTGATTGTGAGAGTAAGTTTTGGGTTTTTGTATGTCTGTACAATTATAATATGGTGCAATATTTGTAATTATCATCTCTGCATTCTGCATCAAAGAAGCTGCCGAAAGCCTATTCAAGTTTTTTCAATGGAGGATTAATCAAATGTACCTATATCATAATATGCAAACATTTCTTCCCTTTATCCATCTTGGCAAACAAGTAACTTTAACCACAACACATTGTCATGCTCGCCCCTACTGCACCCACTCTCCATCCCTCTCCTCTCCTCTCCCCCCCAACCCCCCCCCCTCCCCCGCCATTTACGTTTTCTCTTCACACAGGGTCTGCTTACAACAAGGTAATACCTGGAAGTCCTGATTTCTCACAGGCGAGCCCAACAAAAAGTCAACGGCAGACTTGGCTGGTCCTGAGCCGGCAGGTGACATAGCCAAGTTGACAGCACCAGGTGCGAACCCAGACTTTGGTGGACTGAAAAAAATACATAGATCACCGAGCTTTAGAAGTACAATTGAATCTGCTTTAATAACGGCCTGTCCAAGACAATCACCTGTACAAAAGACCTCTTCCACTCCCGCCCCCTTATCATTTTTTCTATATTGTAATGACATAGTCCAGGAGGCAGAAGGACCACTTTTCTCCTCTGCAGTGAGTGATTATCTTGAACAAGTTCGATGGTACAGGTTTACCACCCGCATAATTTTTGTTTTAGTAGTCGTTTTACAGCACTTGCAACACAATTAGGTCATATAAATGCCGAACATTTGAGGTGTTACAAGAGAGTAACAAACACAAAAAAAAGAGGCGAGATAAAAACTAGTTGTTTAATAGAGAGAAGAAGCAAACCACACTAGAGCACCCACCAACCATCCACCACCCTTATAAACACTGTAAAGTGGTATGAGAGGTAGGACCTTTTAATTTAAACATACATCTGTAACAATAGAGATATGTGGCGGCAAAGCCCTGGGAACTCCTCAAACAACTGTAATTCATGTTGGTTCAAAAGGAAAATCTCAAGCCACAGTGTGCTGGGAAGGAGTTATTCAAAGTAAGCAAAAAAGGCCAAAATACTACAAGGAAAAAACAAAACAAATAAAACCTGAGACCTCCACCAATGTAGAAACAACAATTAAAGTCAACCACTCCCCCATATCTCTGAACTCTCCTCCAATCACACAACATGACAACTTCGAACCCACCTTTTCAACAAGTTCGAACTGCCAGCGGCATTCAACTGAGAGCCTGCCACATTCTGATCTGAGTGTAAAGAGGACACGATCATGGCCTCCCTCAACTTGTTCCCTCGATCGACCAAGACAGAGAGAAGATCGGCACCACCACTGTCTGCTGCTCTTTTGGGGGAGCCTGTACACGAAAGAGAAGACACTCATTGGCCTAGGAAAACCATGCGGATCATCATTTTTTTAAACATTTTAACTGACAATGACAATACCACATAAAAGTTATTTGATTTCCCTTCATGACATATTTTAAAAATTTGGATTCAGACATTTTCATATCTCACAAAAGTTATATCTGTTTTAAGTTAAGAAACATGAAAAGCCTGAATCTAAGAAAAATGTGTTTGAAGGGAGGCAACTATTGTTGTGGACACTTTTGGGACAATCTGAAAGTAAAGAAAAGATCAGTTTGCAAACGATACCAAACACTGTGGGTCAACTTTAAGGGAACTGCCAGAGCTGGCTAAACAGTACACTTCATGTGGTCGCAGTTGTAAGTGCAACACTGAACCTTGCAAAGTTAGGTAAAAATCCTACAGGATCATGCAGAAAGTACCCTGAGATGTAGAAAAAAGGCTCCTCACCTGCCCTATTTGCCATATTGCTGCTGTTGTTCAGGTCACCATGATACGCAAAGCCACCACTAGCTCCAAGATCAGCGTTCCCGACAGTACCATTGGCCAAACTGACCACATCACCGTTCATTGTAATGGCTACAGCTGACGAATGGTTCCCATGGGAAGGAGAGGTAGATCCGTTCGGAAGACCGTAGTTCAACTGCTGCCTCATGTCAGCCCCGAACCTCGTTCCTTGGGACCTTGATTGTTCCTTCAATCTCTCTTTATTCTGAAATGAACAACAAAATAGCTGGCTAACTGATAAAATTCAATACAAGCTTGGAGCAAACTAAAGAATTTTGATAGACTGTGACTATTTTCCCCACCCTTGATCCCGATTTTCAAAGAGAAAACAACAGAGATCTTCCATTATTCATCAAACAGTCACTTTGTGTACTTATGTTATCTCCACTTATACTTAAATGTTCATACACTAGACACTTCAGAGAAAACAACTTTCAATTACAAACAGTCAGAGCAAAAAACAAAAGCAGTTGTTCTGTTATATGCACTGCGTTCATTGTCGGCAAACATTCCCCGAAAAGTCAGAAACAAAACAGTTGGGATAATATTCCGTACCGATGTTGGTGAAATGAAGACAGTATTCTCAGGCTGAGACGGAAGATCAGAGTGTGGCTTAGGGTGAAAGGAGGCGGGCTCTAGCAGGGATTCCTGATGTCGCCTTACGTCTCCTGCAGCATCCGTGGTTGGGATAGAGCCTGACTGATCGTAAGATGCTGAGGATTAATAAACACAAAAATTGTAGACTACACCACCTGTTGCAAAGCGAAAAGCAAGAAAAAGAAATAATAGAACAGCACATTATTTTATGAAGGTATTTGCAAGTACGTGTATTTATCAGTCCTGGAAAAATATACATTCAAACACCTCACACAATTCAAAATTTCACACAAATTTTAGCCACATGTTTATAGTACTATAAATTCATGAATTATTCAACAATTGAAATTTTTTTTTTTTTTTCTTTTTTTTTTTGGGGGGGGGCAGTTATAGGTTTATTATTTCCTTCCTTCTTTCATTACAATACTTTGAGATCTGTCTCCAGTTTGTACAATATGACTGGAGTCCCATACCACAGAGTCACACAGATATGAGTAGTGAGAAAAACATCCAACACCACAAAATCACACAGATATGAGTAGTGAGAAAAATATCCCACACCACAGAATCACACAGATGCTATACAACTCACCAATCAATGGTTCCAGTACTATTGACACTTGAAGATTTGCCAGTTTTTGCCCACTCGATGATAAAACTGGGAAAAACCTTTTTAAAAAAAGAGATACAGTGTTACTAAAAACAGCTTCAAATGCAACATCAAGCAAAGAAGTTGATAAACATATTAAAGAACTTTCTACACCTCTACATTAAAACAACAAAGAGTTACCAGTATAGTTGGTTTCTATACTTGCAATATTTATAAAAAGGACAAAAAACACCTAAAAATGAAAAAACAAAGCCTCAGCATAAGCATGCAACTACATGAATTCTTTTTCAATTTTTTTTTCATATAAAATAGATAGCTTAAAGAACCAAATAAAACATGAAATTCCCAATATTCAGACGAAAGCCTATCATTGATAAATATAAGTTTTAAAAGAGAGGAACTTCACATATGTTCACCATTATAACTCTTATTTGTCAAACATTCATGAATACTTCACAAAAGTAATTTTAATGTCAAACAAGATGCATACTATCTAAAACTGTACAGACACATTACAAACTAATGAATAGTAATTCAAACCCACTTTGCAAATCATTTCACGGTGTTCAATTGTAAAAAGAAGCTGCTGCCAACACAGACATACCCATTCACTGGTTTAGTATTTGTCAGCTGGCCAATCTGGGAGATGCTCGCTTGACCTATGACCTCTGAGTTTGGACCAGTCAACAGGTCCAACATCAGACTGCCCATGTCGTTCAAGTAGGTAGCAAACTGACATGGCCCTGAGCGCACAGGATACCTGGCCGTTGTCCGACATCCTGAGCGGTTTCCTTTCTTTACATCAAATGGCCTGCACACAAGACAATACTTTGAGTTATATCATTACCATCTGATGAAAATAAAACTGTTGATATCACAAGGGAATAGTAAAAACATTTCTTTCTAAATCAGCCTCAACAAAAACATTTCTTCAGTCCCTGTATGGGTTTCCCTGTTAACTTTTTTTCAGATGGAACTTCTCTTTCACTTAAGTTTATTACTAAGGTTACCCTGGACCCTCCCCCCCTCCCCTACCCATCTCTCCCTGAACCCTCCCCTCACGTCCCCTCCTCATCTCTGCCTGCCCACAAGCCCGCCTGCCTCTCTCTCTCCTGTTTGTCACTTTTCACAGATTCTCTCCCTCACCTTCTTCTTCCATCTCAGTCCCTTTCTGTACCTCTCATCGGAATGCCTAGTATGACCATTAAATTACCCAATTGCTTTACTTCCTTAAACAATAATTCTAATACTGCATTTATTACAATAGTGCATTTTTGTTGAAAAATTCGCCTAAAACAACTTATATGTCTAAGAATGCCTTACAAGGCAATCTAGCCCAGTATGAAACCAACTGAGCCAGCATTGCACCCTTCTTATTAGTTGCCCACAAGGCCTGGCTTACCTGAACAAAACTCCATTTCCTTCTTCTCCCCACCACTTTACCCTGACCAGGGCAAGTTGTGGTGGCTTGAGAACTGTCCAAACAACTTGTGAGATGCTAAGCTTGCAAAAGCATCGTATCTGTCCATCGACCTGTGGGGGAAGCCCACCATTCACCTGGACCTGCACATTATCCTCTGATGAGCGAGTTTCTGCAATCAAAAAGCGTTTCAAATTCATATTTTTTGTAAATTGCAAGATCCAAAAACATCAATTATATAGCAGCAATAAAACATTAAATATGCAACTTTGTAAACACATCATTCTTTTCCTCTACAGAATTCAAAGAAGGTGCAAATGAAAAAAGGCATTATGACTGCAAAGGTACCATTTGCTTGATCATGAGTATAATAAATTTAAAGCAAAGAGAGGAAAGAACCAAGATCTAGTGACGGACATTGTGATATTAACTAACTATTAACAATATGACAGGACAGCTCTAAAGTGCTATATATATATATCATATTCTTTAGTTTCAGTAACAGTGGAGAACGGCAAAATTATATATCTAATATGGCCAGTCAAAGTCATACTCTAAAGCCCAACTTCAGAAATCGTAAAAATAGTCTAATTATAATAGCATTTCATTTATAATAGCCCATACCCACGCTCTACGGCATGCTCTATACTCTATACAAATATGCACTTTACGACTATTACCCCAGAAAACCATAGAACACTCAGTTCAACATTCTCAGCTTCCCAGGAAGCATACAGTGCAAGCTGTGGATTGCACACACTCACTAACAACTGACAAAATCTTTTACTGTCTGTAGCCTGAATGGGTACCCATTCCCAACTGGGTGAAGTGAGGACAATTCCTGTAAAAAGTGCCTTTCCCAAGGACATGTGGCTCCTGATGGTATTCGAACCCCTGACCTTAATTAATGGTGCGAGTCCTGAAGCAACCAGAGCACCTCCCAACCATCCACTGATAGAGAGAAGGGGCTCTCGTGGCCTAGAGGTTAAGGTGTTGGCCTCTCATTCAAAGGTCCCGGGTTCGAATCCGGGTAGCGACCGAAAAATTTTCTTCTCTAAAATTGTCTCCTTTCACCTCCTTTCCTGCTCTCTAGCAATGTTCTGTTGTCTGCTTTCATTTCCACTTTCTGCCCCCACCCCCTCACCTCCTTTGCCCCCTCCTCTGGGCCCCTGACTCTTTCTGCAGCCTTTCTACTACTACTCCTTGGCTCCTCCTTACTGCTGTCTTTCTGCCACACCCCTGATCTTCTGATAGGAAAGATCTACACCTAGCCTTCTCGGACAAGGGCGAAAAATCTCGGAGGGCCCGTGTGCAAGTTGCGAACGTTAAAGATCCCTTGGTGGTCTAAAATCGATAAGAGTAGGCTTCGGCCGCCACCCGGGCAAAATTCAAAATTCCCTACCAACTGAAAATATTATTAGGAGTGTCCCGCGCGCTCATATGACCTATGCAGTTGCGAGCGCCGTAATATACATGAAGTGGTTTCTGTCATCAACAACAAATAATCCAAACAAATTTCTTCCAGCAAGTTATAAAGGAATAGACGTTCCCTGTATGGTTATTTGTTATATGATATTAGTTCATGTTCTCTGTACGTTATGTGGTGTACCCCATATTATTTCATGTTATGTTGTACCTGTATCATTCATTGTCCCTGTTAATCCCTGTTCACAGATGAAATCATCATCTACCATTTATAATAAATGAACTACACTGAGAAGTCTTTCTTCATGATGATTTCATCGCTTTGAGAGCAGCCACACTAGCGTTCTTCACGACGGTGTCAGCCTTATGAGAAAGTTTGGAAGCAATTGATCCCCTAGAACAACTAACCCAGCAGTCTTCAACCCACAACTCGGCAACATGGTCATATGCCCTTTCCCAGGCTGTAACTATGAAACCGGTGAAGGAGACGCCCCGGTGGTGGCGGCACTGCTCAATATACATGCCCTCACACACACCCAAACTGCCCACCCTCCTGCACCACCTCAACCAAAACTCGACCGTCCTAAAATTGACTTCGGGGTAGAGGAGGAGGTATGGAACGGGTTCGTAAGGAGATGGGAGGCTTTCAAAATAGGATCGGGCATAAATGAGGCCACTGCCTCAATGCAACTGTTCCAATGTGCGTCAGAACCCCTGGGCAATCTGATACTGAAGGCAGACCCTAACATCCAGTCGAAATCAGTCAAGGAGGTCAAGTCAATAATGCGGGAATTTGCTGTGATACCAGTCGCCATTGGTGTGGGAAGGGCAGAACTCATGCAGCTACACCAGGCACTCTACGAACAATTTCGCACTTTCGTTGCCAGGGTAAAGGGCAAGGCCGAGACCTGCATGTTCACAACCATCGCCAAATGCACATGCAATGCAGTTGTCCAAGCCGACTAAACTGAGACTGTCAGGGACGTCCTCCTGGCAGGAATCGCAGACCTCGACATTCGCAGAGAGGCCCTTAGTACACGGGACATTCAGAAGAAAAGCGTCAACAACGTCATCGCTTTCGTTGAAGGCCGCGAGATGGCTAGAAATGCCACGCCTAGCACATCCATGTCAGCACTCTCAGCGTTCAAGAAGAGACAGTCGTATGAGAATGATCCCACCAAGAGGCCCCCTCCTCTAGATACCAACAGATTTAATGATCTCACTAAGGGCCCTTCTTCTCCAGACACAAACAAACCGATGCCATGCCCTGACTGTGGGAAGAAATTCAATGTTTTCAAGCAAAAAAGGGCAAACGGCTCCTGGAACACTAGACCCCACGCGAAATGCATCAATTGCTAGTCGTCGCAGAGAAGAGCCCACATCTCTCAGCTCCTTGTCGACTGAGCCGGCTGTGTCCCAGATTTGTGCGGTGGCTCTGCACCACGAAGTGATCTCCAAATGTGACTTTAAAAAGTCTAGGAGCTCATGCCATCCTCGTGCAGAGCTCTGCATCACAATGGCCGGGCTCAAGAAGAACACAAATCAGCCTGAAGCCCTTGTGAGAGGCATCGTGGACAGCGGGGCCAGGTCAAACCTGTGGGGCCTAAAGAACTTCACTGACAGTGGCTTTTCAAAATCTGACCTTCTGCCTGTGAATATGGACATCCGTTGTGCTTGTAGGGGTGGGAAAGGACTTGACAAGATTGCATCGAGGTACTTTGGCAGCGGGAGGATTTTGTCTTCTGATATCCTGAATCCGGCAAAGTCAACCTCTCTTTGTGCAAACTGGAACTTGTCTGGGTTGAGGAGATGGAGGTACACTCATCATCTCTCCATTGCAGACATGTCAGAAAGCATCATCGCTGCATCCATTAGCAATGATGTGGTAGATGTGACCACCATATCGTGGGACCGTATAGTCACAGAAACCCAAAAGGACAGCGTACTCTCAGCCCTACTCAGTGCCCTTATATCATCAAATGATCGAGACTGGGAAGACAGGCCAGAATTTAGTGAGTACGCGAGGTATCGCGAGTCCCTATATATATGTCTTGGATGGTGTCATCCTCTACAGAGATAGAGTTGTAATACCATCGTCCCTAAGGAAGACCATTACTGAGGGCCTTCACGCTGCTCACCAAGGAGTCTCATCAATGGAGATACGGGCTCAGTCCATTGTGTTCTGGCCAGGAATGTCTAAGAACATACATCATGTTCGAGCCAGATGCACGGATAGCAAAAAGAATGCACCGTCTCAAGCCCAACTTCCTCCAAACCCTGCCCACCCACCTTCAACCCCATTTGAGAAAGTCTTTGCAGACTTCTTTGACTATGGAGGCCACCACTATCTGGTGATCGGTGACCGTCTGTCTGGGTGGCCCGAGGTTTATTCCACCCCCACAGGAAGTGCGCATGCTGGAGCAAGAGGCCTTCTAGCCTGTCTACGGAAATTCTTTGCCACATTTGGGGTACCAGAGGAGTTGTCATCAGACAGTGGCCCTGAATTCAGTGCCAGCCAGACAAAAAATTTCCTGTCCACATGGAGTGTACACCATAGGAAATCGTCCGCATACCACCCACAATCCAATGGGCGTGCTGAGGAAGCTGTCAAATCTGCCAAGCGCCTTCTCATATCCAACATCAACCCCTCTGGAAGCCTCGACAGCGACAAATTCTTGAAAGCCCTTCTGCAACTTAGGAACACCCCAGACCCTGATTGCAAGCTTTCACCTGCCGAGATTGTCTTCGGGCGTCCGATCATAGACATGTTCTCTTTTGTGAATAGGCTTGAAAAGTTCTGTAATAAAGCCATACAGCACATTTGGAGAGAGACATGGGCAGCCAAGGAAAATGCGCTACGGACACGGTTCGTCAAAACATCTGAGAAGCTCAACGAGCACTCAAGAAACCTGCCCAAGATGTCCATTGGGGACAGATGTTTTGTCCACAACCAGACTGGCAATAGCCCTAAAAGATGGGACCGAACAGGATTGGTTGTCGAAACCGGCCCCAATGACCAATACGTGGTCAAGATTGATGGCTCAGGACGGCTGACGTCAAGAAACCGGCGCTTCCTTCGCCAGTTCCAGCCTGCCACTTCGACCATACAACCGGCACCGGCACGTAACAGCCCAGATGACTTTGAGGTTACTCTGCCTTTGGAGGAGGAAATCAATGTGTAACATGAGTTTGCCACTGAGCCAGTCAATGAGGAGCAAAGGATTGCCCCAAGCCCTTCCCCTCAGCCCTAACCCCCAGAGGCACCTCAGGAGGCAAAGAAAAGTCTTCTCGCAGCCCTGAAACGCCTTTTCCCCGCACAATAAAGAGGGGTTACAGGAACCGGTCAAACCTCAGGAGCAGGGGGGGAGAAAACCAAGGGGGGTTAGGAAAGATCTGAACATGCCATGAACTTGGGGGGGATGTATGGTTATTTGTTATATATGATATTAGTTCATGATATTCTCTGTACGTTATGTGGTGTACCCCATATTATTTCATGTGTTATGTTGTACTGTATCATTCATTGTCCCTGTTAATCTGTGTTCACAGATGAAATCATCATCTACTGTTTATAATAAATGAACTACACTGAGAAGTCTTTCTTCATTCCCGGACTATACTTCATTTGAAAAATACTGCGAGCAAACAACTGATCGACCTTGGTAGTAGTAACCCATTTTGCATTTAGTCACCCAGCAAAAAGTAAAGTCCTTTATATGTAAAAAAAAAAACCAAAAAATCCCTCCAAGCCCCCTCCCCCCCCCCCCCGACCCCGTTTCCATTTTAAACCAGGGACAGAAAAAAACCAGAGACCAACCACAACCACCACCCACAGAAACCATCCCCAGCCACTCACACACTCTCTCACACATACACACACACACACACACACACACACAAACGCACACATAGGCCACTCCATTCGCAATTATTATCAACAAATCTTGAGAACGGAAACCGTTGAAATAAAGTTCAAGTTTATTTTCCCGAACGTTCGGAGAAATAGAGCCGGCCATAATATAATTAAAATTAAAGGCAAATATTAGGCTAGTAGTATAAAAATGTATAAGTTTTTGGCTAAGAACTCTTCAAGTAAACCTAGGCTCCATTTTGTTAGGAGGAGGTTTCTATCCTAGATCTAGGCCTATCTATACAGTCACTGAGTAGGCTACAGTAAACTACACTACAAAATACAATAAATTTTAAAATTTTAGGCATAATTAGGCTTATAGGCGTCGATTACTAAACGTTTGCTCTGCCTCTATTACTATAGTCTATAGACATAGAGTAGAGAGAATCTAGAATCTTAAGTCTTAAGCTAAAGATGCAGGAATTACTAGATTAGATCTAGATCTAGAATCTAGATCTAGATCTAGATCAAGATCTAGATTCAATAGTTGCATTGGTATGTCCTTAAAAACGGATGAATAGCAATGGCAATAATAATAATACCAATAATCCCAGCCCACTCCAAGTGCACATGATTCTACAGTAAAAAGCTTGGCTTGCACACAACTCTTGTGATTTGTCCGAGAACTTGAAGAAACAAAACATGCACGAACATGGTAGGAAAATCCAAAAACTTGTCTTACCCTTCGGTTTTCCTTGTAATCCAAACTTGGGTGGTCTTTTCACCATGATTCTAGTAATATAAAAGTTTTCTTGTCCACTTCATATCTTTTTAGACCATCATTTCACTATAAACAACAGAAAGCAAGCGGTATCCATACAAACATTCGTCCAAACTTGTCCGCCATTCCACCTCGCACGTAGCAACGAGAGGTCACGAGATTTCTGATCTACTCTTTCAGCGGTGTCGAATCAAATTTACGTCGTTTTAGTTTCTCAACGAATGCAGCTTGAAATGATTATACATTGTATTAGATTCAAGCAGATTTTCATCTTCACGAGTGCCGGTGCTTCAAGAAAGTATTATAGAGAATGTTCATTTTAGAAAATTGTTTTCACCTCTGCTATTTATTCCATACCCGACACTACAACTTCAAATCAAAACGGTTGAAATGTTTTGGTCTGCCCAATTACCGAGTTAAGTGTTGCTGAAAGGGTTATTCTGCGTTTGTAGTTGTCATTATTTTCGCTGATGCTGTTGAGGTGTTTATAATATGCAATGTGTTGCTGCTACAGTTGTTTGTTCTGTTATCGTTGTTAATGTTGTGCTGCTGCTGTTATTTTTGCAATTATTATTGTTGTCTCTTTATTTGTTAGGGGAGGAGTGGAGGGCAGGGAGGGGGGTGGGGGGGGGCAAGGAGTTTAGAACTAATCATTAGTCTAATGGAGCCTCCTCTCTCTCTTCGCGGCGCCACGAGCAGTACGCCGCGTTGGGGATCAAATATGGCCACCGAGTGTGGGCTAAATCACGACCTGTGGCGTTTCTTTTTATTATAGGATTTTATCGGGCTGGGCCACGTTGTGGGGGTGGGCGGGGTGGGCGAATGCACGCAAGAAAGAGGGGATGGCGCTGGGGTGAAAGAGGAGGGGCGGGCCTTGGGAAGGGACGAAGGAGAATGGGAAAAATTAAATAAGAGAGAGAGAGAGAGAGAGAGAGAGTGTGTGTGAGTGAGACAGACAGACAGACAGACAGAGAGAGAGAGAGAGAGAGATTGTGATCAACTGACGGGCTGACGGATAATGACAGGGAGAAAAAATTATGTGTGTGATATGGACTGTTCAATTCTTTAAGAGTTTTATGTTATAATCTAGTTTAAAAATAAAAAAGATGTGTAAAATAAGAAGAAAACTTGTCCGAGTAACATAAAATTATCAAACATACCAAATTAAAAAGATAATCTTTCAAGATGCTAAAATATTTAATTATAAGAAATGGATGAAAATATACTTTTAAACTGAATTTAAGATATATGATTGCATGATTCTAGGCGTGCGCCATAACTAACTTTATGTGTTAGGAATAGCGGACACAAAAGAGGGTCAATGTTTGCTTTATCTAATTGCTAACAGTATGTCTTGGTCTATAAATAATATTATTGATCACAATAATTTTGTTTCCTGGTTTTCACAAAGTGGAGCGCACAATGATTTCAAATATTCAACACAAAAAAAAGAGATAACAGCACCCTTGGAGGTGTGATCGCATGCATGAGCGTGGATAACCTTTGAAGGTTGTTTTTTTTCAGTAAAGTATAATATGGAGAGCAGCGTTTTTAGTCCCTTATTACACTCCAGAGTGGGATGATTATTCTTAGTGATGACTCTTGTGTAGTAAAATTTGTTGTTGCTTTGTTTGGTTTATTTTTTAACAGCAGAATCTTAAGTGAACCGGAATTATTGATTGTGGGATCTTAGGTGAAGACTACAACAATAGAATTAAACCGAGTATAGTTCTATCTAACAAAACTCAAACTCTTATCCACCCCACCCTACCTTCTCCCCTCATCTGATATGGTTTGGTGTTTCTTTAACATAGAAAATATTCATCATCATTGTTGTTGAATATTGATTTCATGTTCTAACGGAGCCTCTAGATATCTACATTTAGACTACAGTAGCATCTAATTTGCACACACAAAGGAAAGCAATATCTTTAATTAAAATGTATAATATGTATATACATACACACACATAATAATTATATTTACTCATAATAATTATATATATTTATGAATACGAATACTTTAAAAAAATTGAGTATCTCAGTCTTTCTGCTGGGGTGTTGTATCCCTTTCAGCCTGGGTTGGCCTTGGCATAAAGCGCCGGGGCCAGCCTCTTATGAATTAATGATTTAAATTGTGTTGCTGGGGGCATAGAAACACTTTCATTCAAATTTTTTAAAAGGGAAACAACTTAACTGTGAAAACTTCGGTCCATTGTAGCATCATATCGGTTCTTACACTTAAATACAACACAGATGCAAGGCATTTTTACTAATTGACTTGCCTAATCTGAAGGACCTCGGAATAAAACCTTCTTTCTTATCTAGATTTCAGTGCCTTAGTCGGGCAATCGCGCAGCGCAGGTAGCCCACGGTTCCGCCGCGAGAGAGGGCTCCTATCAGGCGTGCGGTGCCGCCCACAGGGCATCCTCCATTACTTTTAATCTCCTTGGGGGGGACTCATTTTAGAGTTCTTGTCAGCTGTCACTTTTTTCTCCCTACCTAATGACTGAAATTTATAGGAGCTCGAGGTTGATCTTCAACGTGAAAGTCTTTGCGTTCTATAGGGACGGGTCGTAATGATGTCATGTGAAGCCATTTTGCGTTTTGCCTTTCCTAACTTTCAGAATAATCAGGGCTGAAGGACTCTCAATCTGCTTCGGTATTGATACAAGGGTTGTAATCAGAAAATTATGCGTCGATTTAAATAAACGTAGTTCCTTCCCCTTTACCTTGCTCTGTTCTCTTCCTTTGCTCCAAAGACCCACATTTTTAGTTTGAGAACAGTAGAGAACCACATCAACAGAATAATAATTTACTCTTATAGTATACTTTCTTACTCTCTAGTCCTTGTTCTGTCAGTAACCTATTACGCTAAGAGCGGAAAATTTTGTGATCTGGACACTTCTTTCGATTATGTCACAAGGGCACTCCTATCCAATACCTGTATACGCTCTGAGCTCTTTACACCAATCACTTGATCGTTTAAAAGTTAATAATTCATTCAAACAGGTTTTAATATTTCACAATAACAAGAAAAACCAGTTCGACCACATGAAAAAGAACCATCACAACCATACAATCATTATGTAGGCCTAAACGTAAGGGCTGCAGTAAAGACAATACACATGCAGTTTAATAACAACTACAAATTTGCTAAGACTAAAACAAATGAGTCTTGAGTATCGCTTCGATGTTTTAATATTTGTTATTTCTCTAACATCTGGGGGTAAGAAGTTCGAGATCCAGATTTTAGGGGGGGGGGGGACTTTTCTCACCAAAAGATCATAATTTAATCACTTTTGGGGCATTGAATGTTAATGCGTCGACTGTGGATGGCCGTAACGGACGAGATGGAACATGTTACTCAATCTACGGTGTTAAACGCTTGCAGATAGATATGATGGGGTTTTATTGCTAAGGCATTTATAACAGAAGGTAGAAACTTTAGGTTGGATTCTTTTATCAATGGAAGTCAACGCAGAGAATTTAGCATTTTTGATGTTATGGACATAATCTGACATAATATAAACTTGCAAGGAGATAACTCTATGGCTATGGATGAATGCTTCGTCGATCTCTGGGTGTACTCGTATCTGCCAGTTGGTCTACCTCTTTTTTATTTCCAAATTTTGTCTCCGGCAATCTAAAAACATGCCCCAAATACTGCATCTCCACCTTCTTCTTTTTATAATTGTATATTTTCAATCCCAGCTCTTTCCAACACTTCTTAATTTGTGACAAATTCTTTTCGCTTTCGCAGATGTATTTTGCTTGGAAGCTTTTTAAGTTTTCATTAAATTGCTTTGCTTGTTTTCCATATCTACGGAAGAAACACGAGAACTGCTGGAGCGTTAGTTTTATGGGCTATATTTTTATTCAGCAAGTTTTCAATTAGATTATTAATTGATTTAATTCGTGTGGGTTTTTTTTTGTTTTTTTAAATACAAAAGCGAACCTTTTGTCTTTTATGGACGTCATCAAGATCGTGGTTTTGGAGATAATCTTGTCCAGACATGAATTTATCAATATCTGCCTTGTCATAAAGTTTGACAGGGTTTCTGGAGAACTCAACACTTCTGTTTCGGAAAAGATGCAGCACAAGAGCAAGACCAAGTTTTTCTGTAGATCGTAATAATTCGTCCGAGTCGACTTGCATTTCAAGCACTTTGATCGGTGTTTATAGTTGGCAAACTTCATCAACAAAATTTCCATGTCTTTGTCTATCTAATGCCTGTTTTGATACCTTTGTAATGCAAAAAAGTACAAGTGATGAAATGCACTCCTGTCTAACCCGAATATGTATTTGAAAGGGCGTGGACAGTTCTCCTTCAACCTAAACACAACAACTTGCTTTGATAATGTAATGAATTTAACATTTTATCATTTCAGCTGGAATTCAATCCCATAAATTGCCAACGTTTTCCCAGGGCTTTCAATAAGGTCAACATGATTTGGCTACATTCCATTCATTACTTTTCTTACAATGTTTCTTTTTTTAAAAGTAAGTAGAACTGTATTTTATAATCTCTCAGGTTGAAATGCCATTCTTTTTCTTTTTTTCAATCCAGAGCTGTTCGAACACGTTATATGATAGCTGAGCAAATAAATGATGAGAGGAGGGGGGTCAGATTCATTAAAGCATTATATTCTCTTCAACTGCCGTGGTCTTTCAACCTGACCCCCCCCCCCCTCCCCCTCCCTTTTTTGGTGTTGTGAGTGTGTGTGTCTGTACGTATGCATTCTGTTTCAAGAACTTCATTAAATGACAGATATTATGATATTATATTTCATAACATTGTTCTTCAATTTTTTCTTTGGCATCCCTCGAATCTCAGCAGTGATTCTATCTTTTCCCGCACTTTTTTTTTCTTTTTCCGCCCCAAAGACATTTAATAGGTGTTCAAAAGGTTGGGCTCCCGGGGCCAAAGGTCAATTTTTTCTTTAGCTGTATTTAATTTGTCATTTGATATTGGGGGGAACCGTTTTCCCCCTTTATTTAATGAGGGCAATTAGAAGGTGGCCCGAACCGCCCCGTGAGGACCCCCCCCCCCCCCCCCCCAACACACACATCCACACACACGCGTGCACAACTGCAGTTTGCATCCGTCATCTACTTTCTATTTTTCCTTAGCTCTTTACGACATAGATTGTCTCCAAATGCACCTCTATTCTAGTCAAACTGGATCAAATACGAAGGGAAATGTAAAATTTGAATTTGACGAGGTGAAGCACTGCAACTTAAATTGGGTCTACGGGCACAAAAACGTATTGCAAACAAAAGAGACCTGATATAGCTCTGAACTTCTCACTCGACAGACGGACAGACCAACAGACCGACCGACAGACAGAACCATGGAGAGAGCCAGACAAGATGGATAGAGAAAAAAAACCTCTAGATACAGACAGACCGTCAGACACACAGACAGATAGAGAAAAAACAACAAATACACACAGACTGACAGACATTCACAGGACAGACTACAGACAGTTGTTCCCATACAATTGCTATACATCGTACAAGAGTTGGCAAATAGTTCTCACAGAAGAGATACGTGATCTGGTGGAGGAAAGGGAACAAAGATAGACAAATAATAGGCTTTGTACCTGAGCTTAAGATAAGATAAGATAAAGATAAGATAAGATAAGCAGATAAGAAAAGATAAGACAAATCTTTATTTTCCAGGTGCTAGCACATAATTTATTGGTTTGGTGTTTCACCACACACACACACACACACACACACACACACACACACACACACAAACACACATGCACGCTCATAGACACACACACACACACACATACACACACACACACACACACCTCTATATCTCTTCCTGTGGAACAGTGTTCCATCTTTATTTTTTCATTTACCTTTACATCACAGAATTATGAGTAGATGTACGTACAAGCAAAGGACAAAAAACCTCCCCACACTCATTATCTGATTTCTGTTAAGCCACTTTATTAAATAGCAGCAACAAACATCTTCAACATAATACACTTTAATAATTGGGTATATTTTTTCTTTGAGTTATATGTACAAAACAAGTATATCAATGGCATTACAAAAACCATAGCACTATGTAACATGGAAAATTTACAACTTGTAAGCAGACATATGAAAAAACGTTTGAATCACAAATGTTCATACTTTGCTCCGCAAAATTCAGTTACAGAAAAAATAGTGTTATAGTAGTACACGGACATGACAAGAGTTATTCAGTGCCTCAGGCAGACAGACAGACAGCCAGACAGACAGCCAGACAGACAGACAGACAGACAGACAGACAGACAGACAGACAGACAGACAGACAGACACAGATGAACAGACAGGCAGACAGACAGAAAGACAAAAGGACAGAAAGACAGAAAGACAGAAAGACAGAAAGACAGATAAGAACATTGATGACACAGATTAGTGTTGAGAGAAAGTACGACAAACAGACAGATAAATAAAACTTTGGAATAGTAGCAAAGTAGGACTACTGACACCTTTCAAACACCTGCTGACAAATAGGCACACAGAAACATCAGAAGGATTAACTTAAGTAAGAAGCAACTACCAGAGGCGGCTTCCAAAACACCTGTTAACACACACACACACACACACACACACACACACACACACACACACACACACACACACACACACATACACACATGTGCACACACACAAACACACACACACACTTACAAACACACACACACTTTCTTACACAAACACACACACACAGATATACAAACAAACACAAATACATGTAGGTCTATAAATATCTTTATATGTCTGTGTGCAAAAAACTAAACCCAAATTAAACAATCAACCTGAAACAGAATATGTTCGGAAAACTAACCCACCGGGCATCTACGATAAAGGACATAACTGCTGAAAGCTGACAAAAAACCTTTTTTTATTCACAGCAGTTTCGAGATTAAGAGGCTTTTTGTCAACATAACCATTTAAAACAGGTCTTCTTCCAAAATTTGAATTCTAATGTATTCATAAACTAGTCTCAGTTTCACTTTGACTTTTTTTTACACAAATAGGGTAACTGATCAGGCTTTCGATTTAACAAATTTATAAAAATTTGGCGCCAAAAATGAAAAAGATGTTTAATCAGCTTACGGCGCCCCCAGCAAATAGGGCCTACTTAAGTCATTATATATAAAGAGGTGGAACCTCTCAACCTCTCAACCATCTTCAACAGGATTAAGCCACAAGGACGAGTGGAGAGCCTTGAAAACTCCTTTTAAAATATCATAGTTCAATAACATCTTAGTTAAGTGTCAGATGTTTTAAGGACTCAAATCAGGATTATCAAGCACAATAATACACAAACTAAACTATCAAACCTGCTCATTACTCACGACAAGGATGGAGACGCGTTAGTCAAACTGATGGAGTTAGGCCCTCAACTAGAAAGCAGGTGACCCCAGTTGATATTGAGGTGTGGATGCTATTGAAACATGTTGAGGTTCAAGTGTAAGTACAGAGAAGCACATATTAACACAGGTGTGGCGATACACAGTTTTGCTCGAGATAAGACAAGGAGAGAAATGTGCACGGTGACTCAACCCTTAACCCTATCCATACCCCCCCTGGGTTCACTTTGTACCCCCGGGGATGTATTCTTCACATTTTAGAATACTTCTAGCATGAAGATCTCTTTGAAACTTTCAGTACTTCTCAAAAAATATTTTGACAGACTGCTATGCAAAGTATGCGGATCGGATTAACAAGTAAATTTCCAGTTTGGAAAGTGGTTGCACAGAGTTCCCAACATCATATGGATACGATAGTAAAACACGACATACGGATAGGGTTAAGGATGAAGACAATAAGTCACAAAACAGACTAGCAACACATTACTAGCATGCAAAATAAAATCGTATATGGTGCAGGTCTTGATTCCCAGAGCATACACTGAAAAAAACACCCGGAGGGGAACTTAAAGCCAAGCTTGGGTGGTTGTGAAAGCAGCTTATTAGTAGGCACACACTTCAGGTTGGTCCAGTCAACTCTTTACGCCCCTGCTCAGAAGGAGACCAGATAGCAGGGCATCTTTTTCAGACACGCAGAAAACACCATACTATTTTTAACCATAGGCTTATATTATAATATCCAAGACTGGGCTCTCTTGACGTCATTCTGGTTCACTATGGAGCGGTCCATTTGACTTTATGTGGAGCCAAATGGAGGACAAGAAGGGAAAAGCAGCACACACACTCGACTATGGTAAGACTTGTGTTCTACCAAAGATCATGTACAACAAGATCGTTCACTCCTCTCTTTGAGCCAGTTAAAAAAGAGTCCTCAAAATTTGTTGGCACTCTCTTCGAAAAAGCGTGGACTTTGCAAACAGAGTTACCCTACTTGTGTCAAAAACAACATAAGTGAAACTAACAAACTGTACTATTCCAATTCTTCTTCTGGAGAAACGAAAGAGAGCTTCAAAACAAAGACTGCAGCGCCATCTGAAGCAATGCATGGACTTCCGTGTACACTTTTCTGGCTGAGTGAACTATCTTGTTAGGTACGATCTTTAGTTCTACCCTTTTATTTGTGCATCCATGGTACGCACCAGCGCAGCAAAAAATTTTATAGACAGCAAAGAGTGGTGCCCAGTCCAGGATATCGTAATTCAAATCTTTGGGTTTGACAAAGCTCCGAGTCTCTCCACGAGAAATTGTGCAGCACAAGACTGTCAACTTTGTAGTTGAATCTGGCATCCAAATTTAAAGGCATACAAAGGGAGAATATATCACTTATAACTCATACACATTTCATTAAGAGATATTTTTAAGTTCCTGAAGTGAACATTCAACATATGCATACATATCCCACATAGATATGCATATCATCCTCATTTTGTTCAGCAAGTTGTAGGCAGGACGGTCATTACTATTCACATCGCTTGGCCCAGCAAGCAAGGGGCGATGTGTGAACTAAATCCACGTGATATAAGTCCGCTTCTGGATGGTCAGAGGAGAAATAGGAACCGTCTTTGAATTCCTGAGCTGTGAGGGAGACTGTCGACTTCTGTAACCGCTGTCACCATCAACAGACTGACCACTGCTCTCCAGCAGACATGCAGAGGATGATGTCACAGCTATGGCAGAACCAGCGTCCAAACTGTGTCGATGATGCGAGTGACTACCCTGCCGACTGTCGTCAAGGCTGCAGTGACGCTGGTGACGGTGGCGGTTGTGGTGAGAATTATGACGACTGTGATGATCCTGATGCTCACGGAACTGATGGTGATGATGACGATGATGATGAAGCTGATGATGATGATGCTGGGGATGTTGCAGTTCTTCCATGGAATGAGAAGGGTACAAGTTCCGTAGATCTATGACAGACACCTCCACATTTGCCAGATCTGAAAAAGCACTCGCTTGTCGTAGATGGCGAGCAGAAAATGACGATGACGTCGAAGGGTCGTCTACACCAGAAAAACTACCGCCGTGGTCACTCTCTATGTTCTCACCATCTGACACAACATTACGAAATTCCCGAGGAGGGGGACTCACTACAACATCTGCTAGGTACGAGGCGGACGTTGCTGCCTGCAGCCTGCGCGGCCCACCCACCGGGCTAGCCATGCCCACAGTGTCAATCTCCTCATAGTCAATGGCCAGGTTCTCGTAGGTGGGCGGAGAGTACTCCTTGTAGGGGTTCTCCACACTGTACGGCGGGAGCGTGGCCCCGTAAGGAGGGTTGTACTCCTCTAGGTCGGACATGGGAGCACCCTGGCCTCCTCTCCCCATGTGACGACGACGCTGACACAAGAGAAAAAGAAAACAATAATGATACTACATTGGGAAATAAATGAGAGGATTACTAAAATAATATGAAACTTCATGTCATGGCCATAGTACAACATCTGAAATGGTCTGCTTTAAACTAAACAAGAAAACAAAAACATACAAAAACTTGCCTTTAATAAAACTCTCATATTCACATATTTGTGTATTGAATTAAACAATCAAATTATATGGTACTGTTTAAAATGGACTGTTATGTAATGTAATGTTATGAAAGGCGAAGTAGCTTCTCCAGTTTAATATTCATCTTAGCTTGGACCAAGCCAAATTGGTATAGATTGAGCCATGAAACAGTCCAAACAAGAATGCCCCCCGTTGGAGACAAACCATCTATTGTTGTTAACCTGGACAAGTCACTGAATTGTACATTTATTCTTTATCCTTTTTTGCATTCTTTACTGTAAGAAGAAAACAGTTAGGGAACTTACAGGTTTATAGAGGAACTCATAGGTGCCCCTGCCCTCAGACAGCTCCTGGTACTGTGAGACCACACAGGCGAAGCAATAACACTGGTGAGGAGAGGAGAAAGAGTGGTGGAGACATCAAATTAATGCACAACAACTTAGAAAAACACAATAGGGTAAACTGACCTAGGTGCAACCAGACCTAGCTGCGACCAGACCTAGCTGCAACCAGACCTAGGTGCAACTAGACATTGGAGCAACCACTTTCACTATCGTGTAAAAAACCCAAAAAAAACAGAAGAGTGGGAAAAAAAAAGAAGAAAATTAACAGAGCACCTTCCCTTGGATTGTCCGTTGACTTATAATCCACTTCTTTTTTCTTTTCCACTTTTATTGAAGCTGGCAGGAACATTCAAAAATGTTTGTTGAAAAACTTGGTTCGTGAGATTTTTAGGCCAAGTTGTTCAAAGGGAGACAAAAAGAAAAGAATAGTTTCAGTTTTCAATGCTGTTGTTTTCTTCAAGATGAGACATTGATTATTTGCTACCTACTGATTATGAAAGGCATTTGCAGTACATAAGACAGCGGAATATCAGTTCATATGGTGCAAACGTGAGCCTGACAGTGCCTGTATCAAAAATGGCAAACAAATACAGATTTAAGAGGGAAAATACTTATCTGGTAAGCCAGCTGTTCAAATGTAGCTTACATGCTAAGCCCAAAATTTTCATTTTCTTTTTATCACTTTCTTAATCTATGGTATCCGTTGCATGCGCTTGAAAAACATTTTGTCAAAATTTAAATTCTACACATTAAAAAAAACCAAAGGGAGATGTATAAAGTAGGTACAATTGTTAAAGGAATTAAAACAGTTTTTCCTGTCTTCCGAAAAATTTTGCTTTCTGGGTTTAAGAAATTTTAACAGCTTGACGATGATATAATATCCTTAGAACTCAACATACAGACAATGAGGCACACACACACACAAAATCACAAAGACAGCTTAATACATAAACATTTTTTACATTACAAGCATCAAAAGCTTATAATACTAAAAGAAACAAATGTAAGAACAAGCGTTTGACATTGATATCTAATAAGAGCATTTATGGTTTGAAGTATAGGAATATGAGCATTTACATTTGTTTCTTGCTAGGTCTATAGGTAAGCATTGACATCCTTCAACTCGATACACATACACATGTGTGCGTGTGCATAGGATTATTATTTACTATTATTTACAGAATTACACTATGCATATGCATAGGAAATAGGTCTGTTGCAAGAGACACATAATATTACACTTACGTTGGCTATGAGCCTCAAGCAGTAGAAGGCCACGGCTACAATTT